CTGCTCATCTTATTCTACATCAAGTTCACTGTTTCCAATATTAAGTACCTTAAACAAAAGCAAATAGTCGAAGTACTTATAGTTTTTTAACGGCACTATATTTCGAATATAAATGGAACAAACAAAAAACCACGTTGCTTACCTACAAAGTTGGTAGAACGCTTTACGTATATATTGTGGTATTACTACAAACGTTCACTCTAAAAAAAAGGTACTCTACGAAACATATAAAGGATCTTCCGCCGGGCACACGGGAAGATCCTTTTTAGGTTCCGGAAAAACACGGGTTTGGCACCAAACCATTTCGCAGCCTATTAAAAGAAAGGTTTCGTACCAAAGGTTTCGTGCTACACCCTTTCGATCAACACACAAAAAGGTTCCGCAGATGAAGTTCGGTACAAACCCATACCATGGTGCATTAAAAGCAGCATTTACAAATCTAAAACTATCCTGCAAAACGATTGAAGCCAAACCCTAGAAATTCAATCAGAACTTTCTACAGGCTCCTCTCCTTTAGATACCATCAAAGCCAAATTTAACATATCACCAAACACGATTCGTTTTGGATTCCATATAATCTGCAATGAGAGAATGAAAGAATTAACTTTTCTTCATGAAATTCAGCTTACCTATTCATTACCATTTCCGAGTCAAACACCAAGTATGACTACAGCAATTAAATATTGAGTAATTCAATACAGCGTAATTACTTTAGCACTCCACTTCCCGTGAATATAACATGCAAGAAGCATCATTCAATGTGCCGTTCCACCCAACTGATTATCTGGCGATGCATCAGATATCGATTAAAACATTGAAAGAGGACAATCAATTTCATCTGGAATAGAAAAAAAATTCATTCAGTTAGTTTCATTTTATATTTCAATAAACATACCTTATCACGAATACAATCGATTTGATCTAAAATAGAAAATAAATTCATTTAGTTAGTTTCATTTTATATTTCAATGGGCATACCTTGATAGGAGAAAAACCAATTTGATCTAAAATAGACGAGAAATTCATTCAGTTAGGTTCATTTGCATGTGAATGTTTTTACCTTATTTGATAGGAATCAATTGGATGTGCGATAGGATATGGTCGTGGGGTGAGCGGGATGTGCATTTCCGCAATGACCATCGTTGGCTATTTTGATGTTGAATGATTCCATCTAGGTTTCAGTTAAGTAAATATATTTATATCATAACATTTCATCGTGGTAGTGACGATGAACAAATGGGAAACGCTTTTGAATGTAGTAGATCGGCTCATGAAACTATAATAGATTTTGTTCTGCTACAGGTGAGATCGAAGAGTATTTAGCGGAAATCTATCTTATATAAAAAAGGTAGGCATTTATGTGTGGTTATTTTTTGTTTAGATTCAATCCTGAGTTGTTTGCTTTAATCAGTTGAGTATTGGGAAATGGATGAAAGCATGTGACATCTTCTGTTTCTTTTTTGTTGTTTCTTCTTTTTTTATCGGTAAGTTGAATAGTAATAATAGTTGTATTGTTGAACTAGATGCGGCTTTAATCTTTTGAAGGTAGAGTGAACTGCTTGTGAAAAAAAATGGAATTGCGTTTGGTGATATTACACGTTTATGGAAAAGTGTATGAAATTTAAGCTGTTCATATCTGTGTGGAAAACTACCCGTTGAGCAGCTTGACTAAATCGATACCTATTGTTTTTAAATGATCGATGCAGTGGTTGTTGTTATGTTTTGTAGCGGAATGAGCTTTGACTACATTCGTGCAGGATAATCACGTTGAATTCATATGAAATTAGGTGTTTTCTTGTTTCTTATTTTTAGGTTTTTTGTGTAAGGTAGGAGGTTTGTTGGAAAAGTTCTTAGAAAGATCAAATATTCTCCTCTTTTATAATAAAATGTAAAGTTGCCAATAAAAATTGAAAGATAAAACTCGTCGATGAACATCCAGTAAAACTAATTATGTAGAACGAAGAGGGAAACTAAGTAAAAGTTGTATGTCAAAGGAAACTAGTTCAAGCGAATCCGTTTAGCACCAAGTCGTTAAGATTGCTTTGACGTAACTATCGTCGAGGATGAGTTCGCTTCTAGTTTACGTTTTCGTGTAACCAGTGGAAGAGTGTTTTTTTCTTTGTTGAATTTTATCCACTGCATTTTCTTGTTGATGTACCGATGCTAATTTTTTCGAGAAGGAAATCGTGGTTGATCTTGTTGACTTTGTATTATTTGATAATTTTTTCATAGTTACTGGTGGTGTTGATGGAGTTGCAAGAATAGCTCGTGAGCGTTCATCTTCAGCGGTTGAAGTCGGTGGAGTAGCTATTGATAAACGATATGGATCGTCTTCATCATCTGAACTGGATGCTGTATTTTCATTATTTTCTGAGAGTTCATTAGCAGATACTTGATTAAAAGTGTTGGAACTAATAATTTTCAAATGAGAAGAAGAACGTTTATTGTCGTCGAATTCTTCATTATCGTCGATTTCTTCAAGTGATTCGCCAGCGATCTAAAAAAGCAAACATAAATCGGAATAGTTTTAAACGGCAAAATCTCTGAGTTAAGGTTTATATTTAAAAATAAAACTGGGTATATAATTAGTCGTGCATTGTGTTCTGCAAGCCGAAGAAGTTATTCTATGACTGTTATTTGGAATCACGAGGTTTGAAACTGATTTTCAAAAAGAACATTGAAAAAAAATGATATCAAGAGAGATCATGCTCTTTCGTGACAATTTATTGCAATCAGACGAGAAATAATTTTATCAATGATTTCTCTTCCAACGGAAATACAGCATTAACGTCATTCTTTGTTGTCATATTACTTATAAATGTACGTTCAACGAAGTTGTTAGTAGCTACACCTTTTTTTATTGAGAAGGCTTAATCTTGAAGTATCGAATTACTTTTTGAAACTTCTATTAGACAATTAAAGGTATATTGATGTCTGGTATGAGAAGTAAAAAAATGAAGAATATGCTTTACATAAGACTTATAAATTTGATTTAGCCTAGATATTTACATGAAAAGATCATCTGTTAATATCTTTTTAAGATAATAATCTTGGCACGTCATTTTACTTTTGTCAAACTAAATTAGGAGACTTACTCTATTTGAAGTATTAGATGGTGTCGAGATGTTACGGTTGATAATTGAAGACTGAGTTAAGTTTTGCACTAAACTCGTGATTAATGCTTGTCTCTTGATGAGTGGTTGATTGATAATTGTATATTTCCAATCGTTCAGTAAACATTTAAGTGATTTATTAAGATGGCGCGAATCTTCTAATAGAACCGAATATAATAATCGGCAACATCTGTTATGATGGGCAAATTTGATCTAAAAAACGTGGTACGTCGATATAAGTAGAGCAAGAGCTGTTGAAGAGGACGAAGTTTCTGTTACCAAATGGAAGTCGACATAAAGTTCGAATTTATCATCAGAAATTTTAATGCACGGATAAGGTACAAGTATATCCTATATATAAAGCGAAAAAAGAACATTTTATAATCTAAAAATGAACAAACAGCTTACCTCATGTGTAAAAATATTGCCGACTGGATCGCCAAAAATTTTGCATAAAACACGAACTACTCGAAACGGTAAAACATCTAAAATAAAAAACAAAATCTAATACTATTGAAGAATTAGTTATTTTCCTTACAAGGGAAGTATACTAGAGACTGGTATTCAATATTAAGCCTGATAAACATTAAAATACATAATTTTTAGTCCATTTTCAAATTCGTGAAACAACGTGAATAATCCCTCTGCTGAGCATTTAAAATTTATTTCTCTATGTCGAACTTTTTCTAAAAGTACTCACCAGACAAAAAACAACTGTTATCAGGTATACAATCGAAGAAATGCGGCAATAAATCATTTGTATTTTTATTAATATCAACACCAACAGTGTCTTTTACTTCAGCTAATATCTAAAAAAAAAAGAGAAAAACTTGACACATCAATTAAGAAGATAGTTATCATCAAAAGTATAAGCAAATACTCATTGAAAGGAAAATTTAATGGATTGTTTGCTAGTCTTGTTTTTTAAGTGAGTCGAATATCAAAGCTAAGTTTTAGAATGAAAGTATACGATGACCTTCAATAGTATAACCCTCGAATAGAAAAATTCACAAAGATGAGTTACTGCTTCGAGGACATTATGAGAAACAACTAAGCTCAGTTTTAGGGAAAGCATCAAATATCGCTTTGAAGTGTAACTCGATTTAATTCTTAGGATATTCATAGGAAAATGACTTCTAGACAAAAAAGCAAGATGTTTTAGTGTGAATTGGGAATCATTTGTTGCTGTTGTCAAGTCAAGTTAAGTTTAAGCATTGCTTTAAAAAAAGATGCTGATTATTGTATTTGTGAAAGCAAGTTGAAAAAATATTACCCAAGGCTCTCATACTGATATCATATTAAAAAAATATCGTTTGATTTCTATGAAAAACAAATCGTTTGCATAGCAACTGGTAGACAAAGTAGATCCCTAACAAGCTATAATAGATAACTTACTAATTCAGGACGACGATAAGCAGGAAAACGTTCAAGTATTTCATCTATTGATAATTCACGAATGCATAGGCGGCGAATGTTGAATGATTGTGCCCAAAGATCATTAAGTGTATCATTATCAGGCTTATCTTTAAGTAATTCCATATTCATATTGTTGACTATGGACAATAAATTTTCATTTTGTTTATCAGCCAAATTGATCATTGGCTACAAAAAACAACCAATGTTGTTCCATTTTAAATAATTTCAAAACCTACTGTATCTTTGATTTTTCGTTCAGCTTGTAAAATTGCACTTTTTTGCTTCGGGCGTCCTTTTGTTTTACCATATTTATCTTGCTTCGCTTGCACAAAATTATGAACCATTTGTAATGGTTTACGTTCACGCTTAAACTTTTGCTTTATGGATTCATGCCAATCTCTCTAAAACAAGAAAGAAAATTTTCAGGTAATTCATTCATTTTTTCTTACTATAGATTGATGAACTAATGATGAAGGAATACATAATTTCTTTACTATAGATTTAGCCATGGTCATATACTCTTTTATTCGTTGGATAGCTAAATAAAATAAAATGTAAAAATAAAAAATACTTATTATTAGAAATAATCACTTACAACAACTGATGTGATGTTGTTACATCATCAAACAGAATCGATAATAATTCACCACGTAGAGTTGTATGCGGATTAAATTTGGAAATATTATTGTCATCAATGTGATGTTGCATTCTCACAGTTAATTGTGGAACTTCATAATCTATCGGCAATGTTGCTTTCGTCAAAGCATCGTCATTATCATCATCATAACAAACAATATTTGATGAGGGATCAGGATCTGTCATCGGATCAATATCATTACTTGATCGTTTAGCTTCATTTGAAACAGATGAACTTTGTTTAGTATTCTCATTTGATACACCTATAAATTTGAAATATAATAATGACGATATGATTAATCAGAGAAATTACCTGTGCTTTCATTGTTATTTTCATCTTCTTCATTTTGGTTTGAGATCAGCTTCGAACGTAGATCGATAAATTTTACACGATCTTTAATTCTTGGAAATATATGCATCATATCATTATTTTGAAGTAAGACCAATGTTTCACCATCAATATCTTCATCTAAAACAGAGAAATAGAAATTTTAGTTCAAATAGTAACTGAATATAATATCATCATGCCACTATGCTACTGAAAATGATCTTATATAAATCATTCTTTTACTTTCGTATGAACATCGGTAATCAAAAACTTGTTATTGCTTTGTTAACCGAGTTAATACATTTACGTAACGTATTTGTTCAACTAAATAAATGTCAAGACAATGGGACAAAATATCAAAACATTTTTCTATATCGATTTTAATCAAATTTCCTGAAAATTCAACTTCATATGACCATAATTTTTCATTGAAGGATATTGTATTTAATTCTTCCGCAATGATAAACCATTTATTTTCCACGCTTAACAAATGATGGATTTGACAGAATATAGGAATTTCCTTGGTATACGCAAGATGATGAACGATTACTGATTTTGTTCTAATATTCTTATGATGATAAACAATCGAATTACATTCAAATACAGAATCAGTTTGATTAATATACTGATTCAATAAAAGTTGAACAGGAATAGCAAGTTCAAACAAATCTACTGATTTTGACGATCTAATTATCATTGATGGTGAGTAGGTAGACCGGTTTGAATCGCTCAACAAACAACGACGTAACTGATGGCGCTTCAAAAGAGTAAACAGAGGATTTTTAAAGTTAAATGTACGATTAACAATTTGTTTGAAATACAAATGTTTGGCTTCAAATCTTATACAAGAATTCAATATAGGTAGACCATATTTTTCAATCGAACGAGGGTATTCCGTGATGAAGTGAACCTTTGGTGTTACGTAGTCAGGCAAAAGTTCGATCATCATAGAATGAAATTGCTTACATAATTCATCTAGATATGCCAACCATGACTTTCTAATTGGATTAGCGTATATGTAACTTATGATTTCGCGTAAAATCGTATATAACGGGAGCAGGATCAATCGATCAATTAAATCGTGAAATACAATCGGAAATAATCGAAAAAAACATAGTTTCTGACTAGCGGAACCAGCTATATTTGAATACGTTAATTGTTGTTTTTTGATTGGTCGAGGTTTATTCGATGAATCGTAATAACCGTAAACAAAAGATGATGCACGACGTTCGATTTCTGCATAGGTTAAGATACGTTTTTGAATACATTCTTTTAATAAGGCGGATATAATTAACGGGCACACACCTCAATTATAAAAACAAACAAAAAATATGTATCAAATGAATCATTCACATGACACAACAAAATTATAAATAAAACTGATTATAGCTAATTAAAATACGTGTCTATAGACTTGAGTAAAACTGTGAAAGAATTTATCCATATTTCGAAATTACTCGTAAATAATCAATGATAAGTATTATATAGATTTTATTTCATCATTGAATAATAAACGTGGGTTGCGGAAAAGTATCATTTGTATTCTTCACTATACGAAAATTATTTAGTTAACATTATAAAATAAATTAGATAAGTGGAGAGTAATCAGTTTAAAATAGAAAAGATGCGGTTAAGTTCTAACAAATGTCTCATACAGTCAATTATTGAAATACAATGAAAGCTGATTTTTTTCTCAAAGTATTGAAAAGATTTTTTATAGAGTGTGGGTGTGACGGAACGGCTTGTTCGTTCCTCTCTTTTATTCAGAATGAATGCTTTTTCGAGTAACAAAGCTGATACGAATAATATAAACAGTGAAGAAGAAGAGAAGAGAGAAGCAAATGTAAACTAATGATTAAATGATAAGAGTGATTAATGAGTACATGCATTCTTGATGGAGTCGTGATGGATGGAATCCGTCACAGTGGGTGTGTGTGTGTGGGTGTGAGAGTGTCTATTGGTCACCCACACCCACACCCTCAGCTAAATTAACAAGGTAGCTAAATTTAATTGTGAATAAAGTTAGAGACAGAGTCTGTGGTAGTTTAAACTTGAATGACTCCTATTTTTCTCCATTTCTCAACCTTTTGAAGTTTATCTTTAGCCGTTGTCGACAGGCTGCAATATCGGAGATCGAGCCTATTCAATGATTTATTGCATTGGAGCATCTTAATAAGAGATTCCACACTTGAATCAGTAATCTTTGCATTGTTAGCCAGCAACAAATGCTCCAGATGGACATTTTAATCCTTGAGTACATCAGCCAACATTTGAACTCCTTTGTCACCAATTTGGTTGTTCTCCAACCCAAGCACAGTTAATCGTTGATTATTTTCGAGCATTTGAGCCATGTGAAATGCGCCCTGGTCAGTGATGTTATTATTAGCAAGGCCCAGAACGAAAAGACAAGAATTTTCCACTAAGGGCGCAAGAAAACATACACCATCATCGGATAGTTGATTACCTCCAAGATAGAGTCGAAGAATACTGGTGCTTCTTGACACTGCTTCACCAATGTTGAATATACCCTCTGATGTGATGCGGTTAGATCCTAAATCGAGTATTTCACATTGTTTCTCGACGATTGCGAGTTTTGCTACTGTGTGCATATGTTGATCAGTTAGTTGTTGATTCCTCAAATCTATCCTAGCGTGAGGTTCAGACTCAGCAATCAGTCTTTCAACATTCTCATTTAGGCGCATGGGATGCATCGATGGTATGTTGATCTGTGCTGTAAAAAAATGATAAAAATAATGAAACTTTGTCCGTTTTGTAACTTTTCATAAATACTTCAACGTTTTATAAACGCATGGACACAGGAAAATAGGAAGACTTTATGATTTCTAAAATTGCGTCTATTGTTCTATCATGAAGAGTAGACTATTCTACAACTTCAACAAATGAATTTCTCATTATTGGATTTTCAGCTGAGTAGTTTATTACTTTCTGTAGTGGGACTTTTCATTGCATGCTTTTAGGCGAATATTGTATGGTTTCCAGAAAGTGATACGCATATAGAGCGGCTCAAAATCTATTCACTTCTTTGTATTTTTGAAATTTCTTTTTTGTGGTCATTTTGATTCAAAACATTTCTGAAGCTAAAAGATAGTGCTTGTAAGTTTGCACAAGATGGAGCCTTTTATTTAATGAATATAATTAACTTTATCCATTGTTTTGGAATAAACATAAACGTCAGGTTAAATCAGGTATAAAATTTATATTTTTTGTCCTTTTGCAATGCTTTTAATGGAACGTTTTTGTTTATTAACGTTAAAGCTTTTTTTGCATAGTCTCAATTCTTAATTACAGTAAGTTAATTCTATAAGCTATTATTTAATGGTCATAATTATTGTGAATTGGTAGCCGATGCATCTTCGGATCCCACTCAGGAAACGATCAGCACGATCATTTTAGATTTAGATTATATGTTTGAGATTTGGCACTAAATGATGGTACAGACAGTTGAGTCCCAATATTTTACTTTAGGATTTTATACAGCTCAGTTTTTCTAGAGGTGTTTAAAGATAGTTATTTTACTTACTGCCTTTAGTTGTCATATCTTCCTTGCTTTCGAATGCGCGTTCGCGACATGACTTGTCGAATTGAATTTGGGGAGGATTGGCTTTCATTCTCTGATCAGTGCATAATTCATTGGGGTGTTGAGTTTCTTCTTGTTTGGTACAATAATTTTTATCACATTCCTTTACTTCACAATTTTTGCATTGGATATGCAAATTTTCTATTTCGTCAAGTATACGAGGATCGGTAATCGACGTTATTCTTTCCACCATTTTCCGAAAGTATGAACATGATGGCTGTACTTCGGAGCATTTTCCACTATCCTTGTCACAGGTATTGCTTTGACATGTCGACTTCTTATCATCTAGAAAAGGGTTGTTATTGCCACTTTGAGTGCATTCATCGAATGTTGACTCTTGTCTACTTTCTGCATTGTTACACAGGGAGATTGGATTCATCTTTTAATGTGTCGAAAATCTATATATCTACAATTAAACTTTGCATTTAACCTATGAAACGAGCAAACTATGAATCAAAAGTCATTCAACATTTGATGTGCTCCTGTTTGAATTGGATCGCGAACGACAAGCCCATACCCGATTGAAAAATATTAGTGTCATAGAAGATAGAAGCATTCGTGAAAAGAGTTCATGAGACTATTTCTCTCAATTCAAAACACTTGAGTATGGATAATTGCTAGTAAAAATTAGTTACTACAGTCCCAAAGGGACTGATATGTAGAACGCACATTTCTTCTCCACTCTCATTAAGAGACCCCAAGATAGAATTCAGAAGCATCCCAGTGTACATGACACTGATTAAATTTCAAGTTTTTGATGTTTTATCTAGGTTTGAAAATTCTGGAACTACAAAAACCAAATTTTTGGTTCATGTGAATGTATTATACTAAAGCTATTCAATGTCGCATTTTCAGTACCTACAATCTACTGCGACAAGAATAGTCAAAAAAGCGACCGCTATATATTTACAGGGATTATATTTCAATGTGTTAAAGAATTTTTTATCACAGTATGTCAAAAGATAGAGCACTAAAAGGGTGTGAGTGCTTCAGTGACTGATTTGGTGGGGTATGATTGTGTGTTACCATTGTATTGTAACCATTTGATCATAAGGCAGAGAGAAAATGCTCTTTTTAGTACAGTGGTGAATGCGTCTGCCTAGATAGCAGGAGTGCAAGGTTCTATTCCACGTGAAAGGGGATTCTTTTGCTCTGTTCTGTCGTCATCCGGGTGATAGAGATATATTAGTGTGAATTAAGGCATTGCTTACGTCTACATCTACATCTCATAAAATATGCCCTATTACCCTCATAGCAGACAGCACAATCTCAATAAATAGATAATATACAAAAATGTATATAGATCTCTTTTTCTAGCTTTTAGTGCTCTATTTTTTGGCATACTCTGATGAAAAGTTCTTTGACTCATGGAAACATAATCTCGATAAATACATACCGGTCGCTTTTTTTTGCTATTTTTTGAGCAATAGATTGCTGGTGCTTAAAAATCGGTATTTAATAACTTTTATAATATAATACACTCACATGAGGCAAAAATTTGGGTTTTCTAGTTCCAGACTTTTCAGATCTAGATATAATATCAGAAATTTGAAATATAACTAGTGCTTTCTATAGTAGAATAATCCTTGAACCTATCATGGACTATCTCTTAGATACTTCTTTGAATTCCAGTAACTATTCATCCAATTAAGAAGCCAGTTTGGAATGTATTGAAAACGCCGAAAGAAAAAACACGTCGAATGAAAAAAATGCTGAATGAATGAAAAATGTTATTAGATGAAAAATATAAAACATGTATTTTATTTCATTTAAAAAAAGAACCAAAACGTTCATTAATCAGTATTACTAGCTATAAAGAAAATGAATCATTCGATGGGTCCAGATAGGGATGTGCAATTTCAGTTTACTGATAATTGAGATTACCGAGATACTGAGTACTTGCTATACTGCACCGACAACAATGCCACTGGGACACCACTGACATCGAGCACTACTGATGTCTGCAGTTGCATTGCAGTTGCGCATTTACATATTCTTGATGAATAGGTGCGTCGATGATGCTCGGTGTCAGTTGAGTCGCAGTAGCAGTGCTCTCGGCCCAGTGTAGTCAGTATTCAGTGCTCAGTATCTCGGTGATATCAGGTATCGATAAAATGAAACTGTACATCCCTAGGTCCAGATGTACGTGATTAATACAAAGCTTATGCTGTTTTTTGCGCTGAGCAATGATAAGTTATTCAACAATTGCTCGACATCGACGTCGTTGTTGTTGTAACATGCTGTAAGAGTATCGATACGTTTTTTAAAATACCCTTAGTAAAACTTGAACTTGATCGACGTTTAACATCTGCAATGAACCCATTCATTAGATGCATTGTTCGTGAAGAAAGCCGATTTCAACACTTACATGTGCAAATCAGTACAGGTACTAAACGTCGACCAGAGATGCGATCGGTTAAGGTTTTTTTTTAACCGAACCGATTTTTATTTTTAAAACGTTTAACCGAGCCGAACCGAACCGAATTGGAATCTAACCGAGTCGAACCGATCCCAACCGAAAAATTTGTACAATTTTCAAATTTCTTTAAAAAATTTATGATGCTATTAGAAAGCTTTTTTTAAAAACTGGTAACTGCTGTACAATTTAGATAAATTTATTTATCCAGCTTTAGTAAGAGAAAATATTACAATTATAAAAAAATGAAAACAATGCTAGGAGCTTTTTAGCTTTTGTTTTGTGGAACTCGCATATTTTCGAAGAAAATAGAGTGTAAGTTTAAAAGCGAGATTTTTTGCGGTTCCCCCCACCCCTCCGTTTCAGAGATAAAACGTTACAAAAATCGTATGTACGTTCACTAATTAGAAAAAAATGTAGTACTGTTCGATAGCTTGCGTTCACCACTACTTATATCACTAATTAAAATGTATTTTCGTTAATTAGATGTCATTATAATTAGCGTTTAATTGAGGATTTGCTCTTGAAAACCTGTATTTTTACTATTAAAGACCATAGTCACGACAGAATCGTATCTTTTTACTATTAGAGATGATAGCAACGAGGGTGCGCTACCATTACAGAAATTAGCAACCAGTACATGCTACTATAATGCATATTAGATACATTAAGCATTGTTTTAAAAGATGATTTACTATCTTTGCATATAGAAATAAATATATAATTCATTAATTATAACACAGATATTAATTGGAATAAAGTATTAACAAAATAAGAATTCATTTAGTAAAAAAAAATTTTAATTTTGCGATAGCAAAAGCGAGGGAATCAAAAAAACCTACAGAAGTCATGTATTTTATTTATTAATATTAAAACAATGTTTAAATATGAAATTCATTCTATATCTGTTTTACTTCAAGATTAAAAATAGGAATACGAAATATTTTTTATCAATATTATTAAATAGCAACAGCCTTAAAAAAAACTTGTATCGAACCGTAATTTATGTTTACGTTTGTTTCTAATTAGAAAATTTCAGAAGTACTTATTAGTTATTTAAATGAAAGAAATTGTACGTTTTTATCTATTTAGCTATCCTTACTTTTTTCGATCTTTTTTCTGAACAAATTATGAAACTTATTCTATTAAAAAATTAAAAAACACTCTATTTTGGTCAGTATCTGAGTAATTCGAAATATTCGAGTTCCACATTTTAGTCCCAGCGGGGCTGCCCTGGCAAGCTTTTTCGTATTGTTTTGTTTAATCATTGCTCTCTTTTAAACAGCGCAAAAAGAAAAAATATAATGAAACGGTTTAAAAAGCTTCTAACCGAACCGAACCGAACCGAAAAGCAATTTAACCGAATCGAACCGAGCCGATTTAGTTTTCAAAAATCTTTAACCGAACCGATTTCGGTTCGGGTAGAAATCGACTTTAGTCGCATCTCTGACGTCGACCAACTTCAAGTTCTAATAATGATATTTAAAAACGTATTGATACTCGTACGGCATTTTACAACAACAACGACGGGAACATTGAGCAATTGTTGAATAAATTATCAATATTCATTGCAAAAAAAGCATAAAATTTATTCTAATGGCGTACATATGGACATGTCGAATGATTCATTTTCTATAACCATTTGTCCTGATCAATGAACATATTTTTCCTTTTTTTTGGAAGAAATAAAATGAATATTTTATATTTTACATCTAATATCATTTTGCATTGATTCGGCGTTGTTTTATTTCGACATTTTTTTATTTCGGCTTTTTCATAGTAAATCGCCAGTTTTAGGTGGTATCCTTTAAAAAAGGCAAAATACTCGCTTCTGTTTTACGGTTAAAACCGCAGACCAATAGCTATTTCCGTCAAAACTATATTTAAAAAATAATCCCCCTTCTCTTATTTTGAAATTTACAGTAAACAGTTTAAATTACCGTTGAAGAAAATGCACGTACCACAAAGTAACTTCAAGTGCAAGAGTACTCTATTTTTCCCTAGGATTATGAGCAGTCATTCAATTCCGCAATGTTGAACATTCCGGAACCAGTTCCGCCCCCGGAATCAGTTCCGTCGATTCCGGAATTAGGTCAAATATGAACACCGTCCGATTCCGGAACTGGTTCATCTGATTCCAGAATTAGTTCCTCCAATTCCGGAACTGCTTCGCCCGATTCCGGAACTGCTTCGTTCGATTCCGGAATTAGTTAGTCCGATTCCTGGAATTCCACGAAATTCAGCCCAATTCCGGAATTAGCTCAATACGGAATCGGTGGGAATTAGACGGAATTACCAGGAATTCCATATGATTCCGTTCAATTCCTGTTCGACCTAATTCCCGGAATTCCGTACCGGAATTGCATTCGTCACCGAGCTATCAGATGTATCAAGTGTCCATTGATCACTCAATTCCGGAATCGCTGGGAATTAGACGGAATTCCGTGTAATTCCGTTCAATTCCGATCAATTCCTG